CGCCCCGGGAGCTCGGGGAGGCCGCGGGTTCCCCCAGCCCCGCGCACGTCGGGGCGGCGCGTGGGCGCCGAGTCGGAACGCGGCGCCGCGGACGCGGGTAGGACTCGCGCTGCCGGCGGGGCCGTGGATCGTGCCCGGCCCCCGCGCGCGGGACCGCGGTAGCGCACGTTCGTGGGCCTCCGCGCGAGGAGCCCCGGGCCGGGAGGCGGCCCCGAATGAGCGTGGAACGCTCCGTGTGCCGCTCCCGGCCCTCCCCGCTGCGGGATCAGGGACGCGGGCGGCGCTGTCAGCACGGCGCGATCTCGGGTGGGCGCTTCGGTGCTTCGCTCCCGCACGGTGAAAGCGCGGGGAACGCGGCGGCGATGGCGCGGCCCGTTCCTTCTAAACGGGGTTTTGTCCTTTCCCGTGCAGCCTCGGCAGCTCGCTAGGCTGGAGCTGATGGATTTGACGCTCGTGGCACCTCTCCAATTGAAGCGTCTGTTTTGTGTTGCGGGTCTGAGGCGGGATGCAGAGCGGGTGGCTCAGCTGCGCCCAGCCGTGGGCAGCAGCCCATCGCCTGCACGTACAGGACTCCCCGATGTTGGCACCAAAGCCCGGCTGTGCGCAGCCCTGGCGCAGCCATGCGGGACGTAAGGGGCCGAGCGGACGCTGCCGCGTCCCTGCTCCGTAGCACAGCCCCGGGCTTTGTTTACCAACACAGCGTAACGGTGTCCCCCATTGCCTGTAGGATCGGCTCCCCCCGCCCTGCGCAGCCTTAGGGACGGGTGACAAAAGTCGCTTTTCTTAAAGCCGACTCTTGGCAGAACTTTGCCACCGCCGGGCGAGTTGCACAAGTGCTCGCAGCCTCTCCTGCCGGTTGGAGCTCACATGACTCAGAGGAAGCGCGGCTGTAAACAAACGCAGGCGAGGAGCCATTAACCACGTTCCCACTCACTTTTGGTGCAACGGTCAGATCGTTCCCTCTGCAAAATGGCCGCTGGGCACGGCTTGCTCAGGGAGCCCCGCCGGGGAGGTGCTGCCTCCCCTCCAGAATGCCATGTTCTCAGGCTTTTGTTCTTCTGTGCGGTGCCCTTTTGCTGGCTGGCCCGGATCTGCGGTGAGAGCAAATTGCTGGAGTTCTGAGATCGACGCCGATTCCCACTGCCTCTGCTCGTGCTGTCTGTGGTCACACAGTGCTCCTCCGGGAGCACAACGGCAGGCCAGGCGGTCTGCTGCCTCTCACAGACAGCAAGAAAGAGGCTGCGAGGTGATGGCCCTGTCGAGAGGGCCGTAGGCAATGCGTGGGTCTCCCACTCGCTGTCCCTTCGCTCCCATCTCACTGCGAGATGCCATTGGGGCATCTGCAGAACGCTGGGCTGATCTGTGGCTCAGGCTCCTTGCTCAGGTAGAAGGATATTAATTGGCTTTGCTATGTGCTGATTGCCCCTGGGGCTGCTTGGGAGGAATAAGAAGACGTCAGATTTAAAAAATAGCTCAGTTCTGCTTTTCTGCTGCTGCTGAGTGTAGTGTGTATTCAGGGGAGCGAGGTTGTGAGAGGGGAGCGAGAGGAGGAGCGGCTGTTGGGCCCTGCTGCGGCTGTGGTTGGATTTCCACTTCCTGTCCTGATGTATTTAAGGCTTATCCAGACCCTTCCCCTTTCCTTTGTGGCTGAAGGCCCTGGAGCTGCCCCCACTCACATCCCCAGAACAGATTCCCTGCAGTGGCTCAATCAAGAGCGTTAATTGCCATTGCACCGATTGCTCCTGGCACTTGTGACACTGGCTGGAAGACCAGGTGGCACCCACAGTTCTGGGCACATCTGGTCCTGGCACCTGGTGGACAGGCAGATGCTAGGTCTCTGGGGGCAGCTGCCCCTTGGAGCTAGAAACGTGAGGCCTGGAGTGCTGGGAACATGGAGATGGAGGCAGAAGGTGCATTGTTTGGGCACAGAGACTGTTTGTGGTGTGCTTCCCCCACCAGGATGATGGCTTCTGGGTAGGAAAGGGGGTTCAGGGGACACCAGGGACCTTGTCTGTCCCATCGGCTGGTGACACAGCCCCAGATACAAGGCCACTTGGAGAACAGGAGCATACAGCAGATTTAATCAGCCTACAATCTTTAGCCCCCACCTCTGCGCACACTTCCCGTTCACTGCATTCTCTTTCTTACCACATTCCTTTCTGTCTGCAGTGTTACACTGTAGGGCAGTGCCATCGGAGCTAACCCAGGATGAAGGCAGCACAGTGGCAGGGAAGTTACCCTGGTTCCATCAGCTCTTGGGGCTGATCTGCAGATCTCCCCTTCGTGCTTTGCAGCCATCACTGAGTTCTGCAGTGCCGTGTGGGGCACTGGGCGCTCGCAGAGCTGTTGAGCCCAGGCAGAGAAGCACAGTTGTGAACCACCCCGCCAGCCCCACTGCTGTGTGTCCCCTCTGCAGATTGGAGCTACCAGGCTCCAGAGCAGCAATCACTGCCCCCACCCATCTCTGGATTTTCATGTTTTGTTCATGGGACGTAGCAACCAGGTAACCCCTGGCTGCCACGTAGTGCTGATAGGTTAGCCAGGAAGCCATAAACCCTGCTGTAAATGGCCAGCAGCAGGTCTCCAGCTTTGCAGTGCTGCAAGCACAAGCTGCGCCTTTCCAGAGCCATTTTCCATCAGATCAACAAGGGGAACTGATTTGTGTTTCCTAGCCCCAGTTCAGTTAACACCTGGTGCAGAATGTGGGGCAGCCTCACTGTTGTTGACCCTGCATCCAGTCGGCCCCGCTGCCTTTTCCCAGCCCTGCTCCTGGCGCCTGCCCTCCTCACCCCCCTGTGCCCCACGCCCTGCAGCCCTCAAGCCTGTCACATGCCACGGGCACATGACACGTTCACCAGATTATTACTGGTCTGAACTGGAAGCAAACCAAAACGATGTTGGTCGTACCGTATTGCCTGGCAGCTGAATTCAGCATGCCTGGGTGCACACAGTGGGCAGAGTCCCACCCATGGCCCTGGGGAGCTCCCGGCACAAAGGCAGTGCCCACAGTCTGTCCCATTTATGATGCGCATCTCAGCAGCTCCCACTGTGCTTCTCATGCTGGGGTTAGGTTTGGTTTCCCTCCTCTCCCTTCCTGCGGCATTGCTGACAGCTGTGAGAATGCAGCTGGGCCCTGCTCCGTGCACAGCCATGGACCTGAGCACTGGGATGGCTGCCTGCCTTGCTGTGAGCAGACACGAGCGCAGCATTGCCTGGGACCACAGGAGCAGCTGCACGTGGAGTGCAGACCCAGGGCACCAGGGCTGTTCTCCTGCTGGCCCCAGAGGCAGGTGGCAGTGACTGTGCAGTGCAGCCCCAGGGCCAGGCTTGGACACTGTCCCAACTGAAACAGATGTTGGGCTGGGTGGCCAAGCTTGTGTTAGGGCAGTTTGGCTCTCACATGATGTGAACCCCAAGCTGGAAGTAGGCTGTGTGTGCAGGGATGATGTAGGTGCCCTGTTTGTATGCTGCTGCTAACATCTCCTTCCTTTTTTTTGCTTTTTCCTTTTTTTTTTTTCTTTTCAGACTGCGCTCAGTGCTTTTTTCCAAGAAACAAACATCCCCTACAGCCACCACCATCAGATGGTAAGTGCTCTCCCATCCCTCCTGTCCGCAGCATCAGCTGGCAGGCACATGGGGCCATCACTTTGCCCAGCTCACTGTTTCCCAACTCCCACAGCGCAAGCAAGAGTGATCTGGTAGAGGATGCTTTGGGCATGGCCTGCAGTCCCAGCACAGCAGAAGGAGGCTGAAGGGTTTCTGGAGCACCAGACCGCATAGACTTTGTAAACACATGAGCTCTTGTGCTCTCACTGGAGCACCTGAGTGTGCAAACCCCTGTTCCTGCAGGGGCACACGAAGGACATGAGCACACATGAGGCCATGCATGCACATGGGTGCTGTCTGCCCAAGCAATCTCAGATTCTGCCCCTTTAACTTTCGTGCCTCAGCAACCTGTAATCTGCCTGGGCAGATGTATCTTAGGGATTTGCTGGCTGCCGTGTCCTTATTTGACTGTACAGGACAATTGGGGATTTGGAGCATGCAGTAAGCTTGCAGAGTGAATGCCTGGCGGGGCTGGGCTGCCGTGGGAAGGGGCTCTGGGGCAGAAGCTGAGCCTGGTGCCTGCAGGGCCACACGGCAGCAGGACAGGGGTGGTATGGAGGGAGCCTCCAGCGTAGCTGGGCACAGGAGCACACGTGGCAGGGTCCCATCCAAGAGCTCTTGATGCAGAATCAAGCTTCAGAGCCTTAAACATCTGCAACCGACAGGGAGCGTCATTGGTAGAGCCGCAAAATAAAGTGAGAAGATTGCAGCAGAGACCAAGGCAGCGCTGTCCCAAGGCTGGTGGCAGCTGCCGTGTGTGGGACATCATCAGGACACGATGTCTCGTCCCTTTCTGCCTCTATGCCTCCCCTTCTTACCTCCGTGACACCCACATTACCCCACGCCAGGGGCTGGGTTGTGCTGGCTAGGTCCTACAGATCAGCGCTGTGCATCAGGTCCAGGCAGCTTTGTGTGCAGCAGAGCTGAGGGGCACTGCCTCAGGGGGAGGCAAAAGATGGAGACCATAAGCTGGGGACGAGCCCCAGCCCCGCTGACCGCCTCTCTCCTTCCACAGATGTGCACTCCTGCCAACACACCAGCCACGCCGCCCAACTTCCCCGACGCCCTCACCATGTTCTCCCGCCTCAAGGCCTCCGAGAGCTTCAACAGCAGCAGCCCTGTGGCCTCTATGGCGACATCCCCGCCACCCCCGGCCCCACCGCTGCCCCAGCACGGGGCCTTCAACCCTGCCTGGCCCACGGCCTCACCCCCCGGCCAGCAGCAGACCATGTGGACTCCAACCCCCCCAGCGCAGCCCGCGGGCTGGCCCGCCACCGTCTCCCAGCAGGCCACGGCAGAACAGAAGGCCAACGTGACCATGGAGGCAGAGAGATGAGGCTGCGGTGGAGAGCGATTGCAGCGGGGACCCCTACATATAAATTTATATATATATATTTTTCCCCCCCCCCTCCCCAAAGAGGAGAGAAACTGCTGCCAGGGGGTCTGGCAGCCACAGAGACACATGAGCAAATAGCTGCCTTGCATGGGTTTGGTTTGAAGTAGTTTTTACTTGTCCTAGAGCTGAGCAGAGCTCCCCAGGGACAGCGGGAGGCTGCGTGGGACAGACTGCTGCCAGCCTCTGCCTGGACTCGGGGAGGGTGCAGCCCCCTCCTTTGGGACACTGGAATTTGCATGCAAGTAACACTTACGGAGGAAGAGGCTCCTTCTTCACGGTCCCTGCGCCAGACCTTGCCCAAGTGCCCCCTTCCTTTGGCCTCATGTGGCAGGATGGGGGCAGACACCCCATATTGGTTCTTCATGAGGAGAAGAAGGAGAGCAAGGGCTGCTCCTGCACCCTGTACGTGCTGTGCTGGGGGTGAGCAGGGCTGAGGCAGGCGCAGAGCCCCGGGGGCAGATGCGGAGCCCTGGGTGAGCCACACAACATCCCCTCACCCTCCTGGGATGGGGTTTGCCCTGGGGCTGTTTGCATGACAAAATGTAACCCTACAGACTGGGATCATTTTTAACCCCTCTGTTCTTTTCTTCTCCTGGCAGCTGCAAGTCTCTGTGGACATGTCGCAGCTGCTTGCAATACACGCTCTGCTTTGAACCCAGTGTGTTCGCTTCGTTTGCAGCAGTGGTGGGACGTGAAGAACATCCAGTCCAACCCCACCATGGGCAGTAACACCTCCCACCAACTCAGACTGCCCAGGGCCCCATCCACAGCCTTGGGTACCTCCAAGGATGTGGCACTCATGACTCTGGTCAGGGCATCACTGCGCTCTGCGTGACAAATTTCTTTCCTATATCCAACCTAAATGTCCCCTCTTTTAGTTTAAAACTGCTGCTCCTTGTCACTACAGAGCCCTGTAGAAGTCTATCATTCTTATAAGCTCCTTTTATATACTGAAAGGCTGCAGTGAGTCTCTCCAGAGCCTTCTCTTCCCCAGGATTAACAAGCCCAGCTTCCTCAGCCTGCCTCTGTAGGAGACATGCTTCAGCCCAGGGCTAACCAGGGACCTGTGGACTGGTTAGAGAGCTCACTGGGACTCAGCATGATCCAGAAGCATCCCTGTGGGAAAACATCTCAAAATGCTGTGGGGAGAGCAGCACACACCTGGCTGGGGCTAAAATGGGGCAGGAACCACCTGCACTGCCCCAACCCAGAGGCTGCACCAGGACCTCTGCAAGGTCCTCCCCCAGGATGCCCTGTATGCTCAGGAACCACACAGAGCCCAGGCAGCAGAGGAGAGAGATTTATGGCATATGGTGTTACCCTGCTGTGATAAGAGGCTGTGAGGGAGAAGGAGAGGCTGGGGCAGCATGGCCCCCACCCCTCCAATCTCTAAAGCCCCTTGCTGTGCACTCACACCACCCGCAGCCAGCTCATACACCTGCCATCCTGCTGCCGCCATCAGAGGCCAGCCAGCGACCCGCTGAGGAGACCATCCTTGTCCGCATGGCAGCACCTGCAGCACAGAAGGACAAACAGCACGGTGTGGGGCACAGCCCTGGCAGCACACAGCGGGGTGAGCGTGCACAGCAGGGCTGACTGTGTGTGGGACACCTGGGACAGGCACTCACAGGAGTACGGGGACACGTATTGGCTGCCATACTTGGGGTTGCGGCGCACCTTCTCTGCAGTGTGCTGGGCAGAGGGCCGAGGGGATTTTGTGCCTTCAGGGCAGAATGCAAAAGCACTGTTAGCAGCAGGACATGAGGCTGCGGTAGCATCTGAGCCACTTCAAGCACTGCTGGCTCAGGCTGGAGCTAACGCAGTGCACCAGGGCTGCTCCCCTACCTGGGAAGTCCCTGCCCCGAGTGGCTGTCCCATTGGTGGCCTGTGAGCTTAGCTTGCCCTTGTAGATGATTCCATCAATGCCCAAAATATCCACTTGACCCTACAGGGAGGAGCAACAGATGCCATTGGAGGTGCTCAGCTCCCAGCATCCCACCCCAGCTGGGCACAGCTGGTTTCCAGCACACACATCACACAGGGATGGGCCTCACATTGTTGTAGGTGAGGTCTGCAGGGACTCCAAAGGGACAGATGGTAGTGAGGGAGCTGGAGGCAGACGGTGGCCTGGTGGGAGCTGTGGGACCCTGGCTGATCTGGTTGCGCCCTTTGGTCTCCCTGGGAAGGAGATGGTAACTGATGTTACCATTACTGCCAAGGGAAAGGGACCCCAGAGGGAGAGGCAGGGACCTCCCTGGCCTCACCTTCCTGGCAGCTGCTGTGCCAGGCAGTCGGAGCCACCGGCACTGGCCTTGCGGACTGTCACCAAAGGCCTGCAGGTGAGCAAAATAAGGCAGAGCTGGGCAGTAGCGCAGGTGCAGCGCACAGTCTGCACACTACTCACAGCCTTGGGGCTGCGGCCAGAGGTCTGTCACAGGAGATGCACTTCATGGGATCAAAGAGGTTCCTGCAACATAGGGGCAGTTGCTCAGCATCCCACTGGCAGGTGGGGACCATGGGAGGTCCCATGGGTGGCCAGCACCCCGTGGGCAGAATGGGACAAACAGGATCTGTATGGGATGGACAGGGCAGGGCGGGACAGGATTGGAAGTGATGAGATGGGACAGAGAGGGACAGGGCAGTGTGAAGTGGGGTAGAATAAGAACTAGCAGCCCTCACCTCTTGAGTCTATTGGCACTGCTGGTGTCAAAGTAAGGTCTCTGGCAGTGGCACTGCTTGCTGAGCCTCCAAGTCTGCTGCCGCTGTGCCTGCACCATACGGCACAAGTTCAGGAAGGGCAAAGGGACACCAAGCCCATTTTTGGGGACACTGCTGCCCCTGGGGGATGTTGGCAACACCCCCAGGACTCTCCCAGCCCTGGCACAAGGCAGGCTCAGCGCTTGCCCTCTCTTTGCAGACTATACACAGGGATACCGTCCCCTGGTCTGGCACGTCCCTCCATCCTCTCTGGGTGACACTGCTACCTTGGAGTTCCTCTCTCTGGTGAGCTCTGAGGCTTTATGCCTGTCCTGGCCATGCAGGAACATCCTCTGCAGCAAGTCCTGCATCATCTCACTCAGCTGGGCCATGGTATTTTGTAACTCATCCTGGCTTGCTTTGGTCTCCAGTGTAGTCTCATCTGCTTTCTGAGAGGATGTGGTGTCAGCCATCTCCAGCAGACCTCCATCCCTGCACGCCCATGCTCTGCCCCTATTCACAACACCCACGCCCCATTCTAACAGCACACAGTCTGCAAAATCCTGCCACGCTGAACAACTTGAGGTGGGGACACACCAAGGCTGGACAGGCCTGCCTCCAGCCTGGACCTGACACTAACTACAGCACGAGTGGCTCCTGAGCTGAGCTGGTGACCACACTCACCTGAGTGTCCTTGGAGTCACCCCACAGCTGCTCTGCAGCCTCCTGGAGTCTCGTGCACTGCTCTTGCAGCTGTCCCACCTGGTTCAGCACCTCCCTGCTGAAATCTGACCCCTGGCAAGTGTACAGCACAAGGAAGCCACATGAGGTGGGCTCATGAGTGGCCCCAGTGTGCTCCTGGTGAGTGGAGCAGTGGGCTGCAGCCCCCAGGCCACTGGGCAGCACCCCTGAGGCCTGGGCAACTGGATGCTTTCTCTCCTTTGTCCTACAGGTGCCTTACTTCTCCCTGCATCTTCTCCGTGGCCACATTCTCTGAGGTCCCCAGGCCAGCTGAAAATACACCAAAGCTTTGCTGCAGGCAGCATGGCTGGGAGAAAGACAGAGGGACACAGGGGCTGCAGTGGAGTGAAGACTCAGCAAGGATGGCTGAGTGTAGCCATTGCCACGTGTTGCACCTAGCAAGGCCACAGTGGCTCAGCCCAGCACAGTGACCCAGCACGGTGGATAAGTCAGTGCTCACCGTGCTGCTGAAGCGTGCTCTTGCTGCAGGTGATGCAGGTCTCCACACTCTCGTGCTGCTCCAACAGCCCGCTCAGCCTGCATGGGGCCTCGAGAGCTGGCTCCTGTGAGGACTCAGGGATGAGGTCCTGGCTGGAAAGCTTCTGAAATGAAACAGCCCCAAGGTTTAGGGGAGGGAGAAGAGCCCCGCCAGCCTCCAGCAAAGGAGCTGGTAACCAGGAGCATGCACAAACCTCACCAGCAGGCAGCCTGCAGAGCGAGCACAGCATTCCGGTCTGCCAGGGGAAGGAGCTCAGCTGCTGCCGCACCTCTACCTGTGACCAGCAGAGAAATCAGCCCTGCTGTGGCAGGGAGAGCCTGAGCAGCCCCTGCAGTGAGGACAGGACACCAAACCTGGCCAGCACACCCAGCACCATGCTGTCCCCAACCCTGAAAGTCAGTGCCAGGGGCTGGGTACTTGCTTCCAGCCGCTTTGCCGGGCTCACCATTTGGCTCAGGATGTTCTGCAGGAGGTGGCTGTGTTTGTCCTGCTGTATCACCTGCTCTCGCAGCTCCTCCAGACCAGTCTGATAAACAGGGACATCAAAGGGCTCAGCACCCACAGGGACTGAGACTGGTATCAGTGTCAGCAGTGTCCAGTAAAGGCTCCATGCAGCCAAACAATGCCTGTGCTGGACACTGCTGAGCATTGTTTCTCCAAAACCCCTGGGCAGATCCCAGCTCCATTCATCCCTGTAACCCCGTGCCCCTTTGCCATACGTGGAGGTGCCCATAGAGTCTGACCCCCCACCCTCCTCCCCCTGCCCCGCTAAGAGCTATTCACCAAGTGCCCAGCTCCACTCACACACCTTCTGGAAACTGTCCTTCAGGAGCTGCAGCTCTTCCTGGAAGGCCTGGATGGTGGTTTTCAGGGAGCAGGTGTTGGTGAGCACCTCCTGTAGTGTGTCTGTGACCTGAGGAACCGTGCCCAGCCAGTGCCTCTGAGTGGCATGCCCCTGGGGCTGGAGGGCCCTTTGGGACACAGAGCTCAGACCCAGAGGGGCTGCCACATCATCAAGCTCCAACCCCACTGTCATAGGCAGAGTTGCCAAATGAACACTAGCTCAGGCTGCCAAGGATCCCATCCAGCCTGGCCCTGTGTGCTTCCAGGAATGGGGCACCTACACCTTCCCTGGGCAGCCTGAAGTACCTGTCAGCAGATCACACACAAAGTGTGCATCATGGAGGCATTTCCTCAGATAAAAAGGGGCAGATAAAAAGTAGCCAAAACCACCTTTGGCCAGTGGCAATGTTAACGTATTGCAGTCTAATGAAACCTCATAGCTAAGCTACCATCACCTGAACTAGAAATACGGCCCTGTGCTATGCCAGATTCTCCAGTCCTGTCTGAGGAGACATCTCCAGGGATGTGGACATGACACAACACGGGCACTGCACTGCGTAGGGCAGGATGCTGAGGATGGCTCCTCACCTTCGTCATCCCCTCCTCAATCACCTCTATCCTCTTCCTCAGCTGCACCATCTGCTCCGTGTCAGCGGCCGGCGTGCCAGGTCCCTGCCCAGAGCTCAGCAGCTCCGTCACGCCCAGGGACCCACCGGAATGGCCCGGATGGAGGAGAATGGGGGGCCTGGCGCTGACCTCGGGCTGCAGGAGGCCCCTCTCGTCCTCGGAGAGGTGCGTGGCGGCATTTTGCAGCCGCAGGTGCTCCAGCAGCCCGCGCAGGAGGAGCTGCAGGGCGCCGGCGTTGACACCGCAGCCACGGGCCGTGCGGAAGGCGACATCCGCCAGCTCCGCCAACGTGACCGCCACGCTCATGTCGCCCCGGGCCGGCGGGCTGAGGTCACAGCGCCGTTACCCGGCGACAGCCGGGGGTTCCACCCCGCAGCGCAGGGCCGAGCCGCCGGCGGTTCGGCGCACGGCGTAGCCGGGCCGCTCTGACAGCCGCCCGCGGGGAGGAGGCGCCCGGCCCGCCCCGCTACGCCAGGCCGCGGCTCCGCAGGCCTCTGCCGTGCCCGCCCCGCAGCGCAGCGCCACGCCCCGCAGGTGCCGGCACGGAGCGCCGGGAGCCGTCGGCCCGCTGCGGTAGGTGCGTGTGCGGGGCCGGGAAGGGCAGCGCGCGGGGCGCCGAGAGACGGAAAGCCGGGGCTCCGTGGCGCGGGCAAAGCGGCCCCTGGAGACGAAGCCGGAGGGGGGCGGGGAGGCCCGGCTGTGCCGGCGGCGCGGGGACGGAAGGGTCGGGCGTGCGGGGCCCGAAATGTCACCGTGTGGGAGCGAGGGCACGGGCTCGGAAATAGGCGGAACGGAGGCCGTCGTACGGCCCGCCGAGGGGCTGCGGGGAAAGGGGAGCGGGGCCGGAACAGACGGGGAAAGAGAAACGCTGCGGCTGATGGGGACGGTGCAGGCGGTGTCCGTCAGCGCGTTGGCAGCTCCCCGTGAAACGAGAAGAGCCCTTCCTGCTCATGGATGCCGTTGTGCAACAGCGCGCTCCCGTTAGGAAATACTAGCAGGAGGCTCCAGCCACGGGAGCGCACAGACCTCGGTTCTGCCTCCCACGGGGATCGGAGCGGCAGCTGCCACAGCTGTTACGGAGGCGTTCGGCTGCTGGGAGCTGCGAGCCCCTTGTGCTGCTGTCCTCTGGGCTGCCTGAAGGAGCCACGCTCAGGCTGAAGCCTTTCTGGGTCTCTGCGAGCGTGGGTGTGTGAGTACAGGATGACCATAACGCGTCGCTCATTCGTACTTAGGAACAGAACAACCTCGGGTCACCGTGGGAAGTGCAGGCTGAGAACTTCCCCAAAGGTTTCCCTGGCTGAATGGTGCAGCCACATCCACGTGCCCAGCAGATCTCTGGAGCAGCTAGCAACGTGGCTGCTCTGCTGTCCCTGGGCGCTCTGTGAGGAAGATACAAAGAGAACAATCTTATGAATGCCTGCAAGGCTGCACTGTAGCGTGGGCTGGGGCAGAAGGGGGCGAGGCCGTGATGGTGGAGCAGCTCTCCCAGGCATGCCCCGAGCTGGGCTCTGGTGGCTGCATCCACACGGGGCTGGGTCAGGCTGTGCTGAGTACCTACCAGTGTGACTGGGACAGGCAGCAGAGAGGGAACTTCTCCTTCAGAGCCGCAGCCCTTCCCAAGACAGAAGGCTGTGCCGAGGTCTTGCTGTGCTCCCTCAACAGGTCCTACACAACTTCAGTCCACCTGAAGTTCAGTTCCTCAGGCACCTGCCCTGACTGGAGCTACTGTTAAGGAGGGAATGTGTCTCTGTCAGTGCCATGTCTCATTTTCTGAGCATGTTTTTGGAACTCACCTCCCAGCTGACCACGCTTTGCGCGTGCGATGTCATGCAGTGATGCAAAGCACGGTTACTGCTCTCCTCAGGATGGAGCACAACTAGTGGATGCTCTCCTCCAGCTAAAGGTGTTCTGACAGGGTGTGCCCACAGCACCAGTACTGTGCTCTGCGGGTTCTGCATTCTCAAACAATCGCTTCCAGTGCCAGCCTTACCAAAATCACAAGAGGAGGCTGCAGGCTCCCCTGCCCCTTCAATTCAGAATTAGGCAAATACTTGCATTTAAGATGTGTCATTGGTGCAGAACTCTTCCAGCTCAAGTGGTTGTGGAAGGAGGCAGGCAGTCTTCTGTAGCTGCTCAGATCTAAGGTCTTCTTTTTGCTATAGGTAAGAAGAAAAATGATATTAAGTCTTCCACATCTGTCTGTAGTGCCATTATAAAGCTCAGTTTGTTTTTTTACAATTGCTTTAATCAGAAGACAATAACTTAGCCTGAAAGAAGCTAAGTCTTTAACATTCTTTTGGTATAATTTCTGTAGGGCCTGCAGCCAGGCCGTGCATTACTGCTGGTATTACCATAGGATGTGCACGCGCTGAGTGTCTGACAGTGATGAGACAGTTTTTCTACACGAAGACACGTTTACTTTGCACTGGGATAAGATTGATGGCTGCCAGCTGAGAGCAGGAGCAAATAGTATTTAAGCAAAGATTAAAGTAATAATGAAGGCAGCGGGGCTGAGTTTAATTTCAGGATTTGAGACAGGTTTGCCAGCTTCTAAGTGAAACGTGAAAGGACACAGCAACGAGGAGCTGCTCTCCCAGAGTGACCCCATGCAAAGCTGCTGAGAGCAAGGAGGGCAGGGAACTGGAGAACGGCAGGTGGGTGCTGATAGTATCGCTGCCTGATGTTCTAAGAGGGAACAGTTAATCACACAGTGCTCTTCTTTCTGCCCAGTGCACTGAGGGTGGTAGTTTGTCATGGGAACTGCAGCTGCTCTGCTGATCTTTGTGGAGTTCAGGTTTGTTTTTCACTTCTGGGGTCTGGTTTTACAGCCCTTGTGAAGACAAAGAACTGCAGCCTGAAGGTGCGATTTGTTCTCCCAAGGATTTCAGAGCAAGGTTTGGGAGTGTGCCACTTTACAAACAGATGTTTGTACCCGTTTTATCTTCGGAAAACATGTGGCACACAACTTCTCCTTGGGACGTGACGTTCACACTGCTTTCCTGTTGTTCCCCGTTGCTGTTTTCCTGTTGTTCCCTGTATCAGTCCCATGAGCAGCAGCACAGCTTCCACAGGCAGCATCAAATCCATGCATGCTGCACTGTGTGCGTCTCCTCACGTCAAAGGGAACACAATTAACACAGAGGCCATAAAAACCACAGTCCATTTTCTCAGCAGTACAGAGGCCGGGGGAGCACCGCTTTTACTTCTGGCACAGAATGCTGACAGAAGCTCTTCTCTGCTGCTGAAGCATTGCTTTCAGCTCATTCACTCCCAGGTGTCTCGTGGCTGTGGTCTGCCTGACATCTGCTGTGTTCTGGGAAAGAAAAGGCTGCCTGGCAGCCTAACAGGCACAGGGCTGCAACGGAGGTGGAACAATATCTTACAGTTTAAGTGTTCAAAGTTATATGCTGAGATGGTGGGCCCTCCACCCTGCACCAAACATTCCCTTTGTGCATGTCCCACAGCTGCTTTGATCCCAGTCTCTGCATTGAGGTGGAAGATCTCCACCAGAGGGCCTTTGTTACCTTGCAGCACCAATCTGATGGACCTTGCGGGGCAAGGGAGATCCAGAGCCTTTTCTTCTTAACATGTTCTGAAGCAGCTGATGAGAAAGACACAGCCCCCTCAGTCATTTGGGAGGAGCAGCCAAGCAATCGCATTAAAAATAAGCCCTTGGTGCTCAGAAATCCCTCTATGTCTTCCCAAAGCCCCACAGCTGGAGAGTAGGTGTAATCTTTGAGATTACGGGCAAAGGTTGCCGTACCCAGGAGAATTATTGTACAATCGATTTCATTTAGGTCACGGAACGAAGACTGTCACGTGGAAAGATGTCAGGAAAGCTTAACCATAGCCTGAGCTTTCAGGACTGGGTGGGGGAGTCCTGATTCTTGGTCCCCAGCACAGCTGCTGTCCGTGTTTCCTCCCCCCTTGGCCATGACTCAGCCCTTCCCACAGCTCTGTTTGCTGGTTGCTGGATGGGCTGTTGTTGGCCAGTAGCTCCCAGCTGATAGGAGCAAGGAGACCCTCCTGTTGTTTTGCTGTTTTCTCCTCTCGCTTGTTGTTACACCCTGCTATCCTCTGATCTTTTCCTTGTTCCTGAATTACTGAATTATCTTAAGTAGCTGATATGGTGTCCCTTATTCAGTTATCTTTGCTGAATAGCTTTGGTCTTACTAAGAGCAATGGTCTTTCTGTTAAGACTTAGACAAGTGGGAAGCAGGCAGAACCAGTATCTATTTTGCCTTGAAAATACAGTTGACTTTAAAAGCAACAGAGGTCCTCTACGTTTTCCCAAATTTCATGGTTGCCAAAAGAAACGTCTGTAGCAGAACAGCAAGATCCCAGGGTGCAGCAAGTGAGGATTCACTCAAAAGCAACAGCATTAGGCACAGAAATAAAGGAAAGAAGCTGCTTACCTTCAGAAAACCTCAGGTAGGCAGGGATCTCCAGAGAGCTACTCTCATCTCCACTGCCAGCCCTTAAATGAGGGGTGGGAAGGGGAGGTTCCTGGCTCCAGCCCTTCTGGTTACTCAGTGCATTGCTCGCACCTGAGCTCCCCTGGGCTGGCCCTGCCTTCCCACCAGGTGCTCCATCACTGCTTCAGGCCATGACTTGGCATTTCTGCTACAAAGTCTCAGACAAAAGCATCAGAGAACTCAAAGCACATGGTGCCCTAAGACAGTTGGGTGTGAAACTCTCTAAGGCTCGTGTTGGAGTGTTATAAAGCAGATGTCAACAGTGGATGCATAAGAGTAATCCTGCTATTATGCACAGCTTACACAAAAGATCTTCAGTTTATATGCATTACTTGTGTTACATATGCAGAAGTTTCCCAGAAGTGTGTTACGTATTCAGTGATCGATTCCAAGCAGGACCTCCTGTTTCCTTGGTGCAGAGACTCAGCAGAACTTCCTTATCTCCTTGATTCAGACACGGCTCTTTCTGTTATCCAGATAAGAATTGCAGGGCAGGAATATCCACCAACGAACGCTAGCAAGCTTAACTATGTTGCTGTGAGTTGTGCCATGCAGGGGCAGTGTTCTTCTTTAGCATCCCCCCACGTTTTTGGATATGCTGTTTTGTTGTTAAGCCAACCAAGATAAAAGCATTTCTGCGTGAGGAGGCTCTGAGAACAGGCGCTGCTGGATGAAATCAGCCTTCCTGAGGGCACTGCAGCTGGAAAACCCAGTGATGATCCAGCCTTTGCACATAGCTTCAGTCCTGGGGCTTTGGGAAACCCTCTAACCAGAATCTCACAGTAAGGCAGAGGTAATGACAGAGAAGGGCTTTAGAAGAGCTCAGAAGGGAGGCTTGGGGGCGTTGCTGAGCGTTAGTGATGCTTTGAAATCGGTGGAAGTGCCTGGGTTTTAAGAGGCCTTCTGCTTTCTGTGTCTGCTGTTGTGGGGTTGATGTGGCTCACATCCCGCACATGCCTCAATGGAGATGGTGCCCAGAGCTGTCCTGGGGAGGTATGAGGCCACTGTCTGTTCTTTCTCCCTTGTCTTCCAAGGGCACACAGCACTGTATGCTCAGCTTCAGAGCTCACTGAGCATGGTAGCTGTTATGTCAGATCTGCTTGAGTCTGAGCGGGGCAAATGCTGTGGCTCTCTGTGTGTCCTGTAGGATTGCTGTGCCTCCCAGCAACCATCAGTAGAAGAGAATGGTGGGGAGCAGCTCTGGCATGAGCAGAGCGATGGGTGCATGGCAGTTCTCCGCATGCCACTGTTGAGCAGCAGGTTTGGGGTGAGGGCTTACAAAGGAGTTGGCAAGGGCTCAGATCCTACTCAATCCCAAACCATGCTTCACTGCTGTGGCCTTTAAAAAAGCAGATGACAGTGAGTATTTCTCATGAGTCCTTTGGAAAAACACAAGGTGACTCTGTGCTGCTAAATAGGAGTGTCAGCAGCTCTGCTGGTGCCAGGCAGCACTGCTGGGGGGGGGACAGAAATGCTGGTGTTTTGGAGGCTGCGGCTGGTCCTGCAGTGAGCTCTGGCTCACTGGAAACATCAGCACTTGGACATGTGTTGTGGAAGGAAAGTGGGCCTGGAATCACCACCCGTGTATTGAAAGTCATCTCGCTGTGTTGCACAGTCTGCGAGGGAGCTCCAATGGGGTCTGGGCACTGATTGGTCCTGGCTGAAATGTGTCTCTGTCTCCATCCTGTATGACTCTCGTTTCTTCCTCTGTCAGAGCTCAGTGTGTTATTTAATGGGAGCCCCACATCCATTCAGCTCCATTCAGCAGCAGTGTCGTTGCATTCTTTGACTTTCTCTGAAAAAATTCTATAGAATGAGTGAGTAATGAACAAACAGGCTGTTCTGATCGGGGTGCAGCAGCATCTGATGGTGCCATGTCACCGGGGTGAGCAGTGTGTGGAGAGCTGTGCTTTGGCCACCCGTAAGGAGCACCAACTCCTTAGAGGACCAGCACCCAGAGGACCACAGGAGGTGCTCACTGCTGAGCGTGACTTGAGGTCACTCTGGCTGTTCAGACCTGAGGGGACAGCAGGATGGCACAAGGATCATGATTCAGAAACGCCTGCAGGAGCTCTGTGTGCCAAATGCAGCCTGAGCTGTGATGGTGGCTGCTGGCAGACAGGGAGACATGGGAGAGCAGGAAAGGCCGTTCAGGCTGAGGAGCAGGTAGAGGTAATCTGAGTACAAATAAACCTAGGCTGAAAACCACAAGGTTTCCCATCCACTGAGGGCCAGGCTCTGCTCCTTCAGTTTAGAAGAACTCTGCATTTTTGGCTGGGAGGGCCATCTCCTGTGTCCATCCCCATCCTTTTACTGGTTACCAGCTCCTGTTGGGTCAAACGATCTTGAGCCAGGTCCTCAAAGGACACGTATGGAGTATTTGTGTGATTCCATCAGACCTTCAGCTCAGGTCCCAGTAAACTTAGCCCGAGTTGTCTGCGCAACTTTTCTCCCTCTGGGTGCTCACCTCCAGCTGTGCTGGGATGCAGTGCTGGGAGCGATGTGTGGAGTGAGCTCTGTCTGGCACCAGCCTTGTGCTGGGCAGCCCTGTGCTCCTCATGGAGCTCTTTCTTTACAGTGAGTGGAAATGGGCAGCAATGGGCTTTGTGCTTCTTGCCCTGAGATAAAAGAAAGCATAGGAGAAATGGCTTCTGAAAGGCTTAGAAGCAGCAGCAGGCTTTCCTTTCCTCCAGGGAAGGGCACACGCAACATCTCACACTTTATGGATCTCTTTTAATAAGCAGGATGTTGCATTAGGAGTGGCTGAGCACGAGCAGAGCAGCTCTGCGGCCCATAAACATCCTCCCTTCCTCTGACGGCCATCCCCTCGGGCCAGGGGCAGCTGGTGTGGGATGGCAACAACCGGTCCCAAACATCAGCCTGTGCTCTGAGCTGGAGGCAGCAGCTCCTGGTGCCGGGCTCAGAACAAGTGCTGCAGCACAGGGCTGGCACTGCCCCTGGGAATCATCTCCCTGTGCTTTGTTAGTGGTGCGGGATGGTGGCCAGGGCGCGCTGCGGGATGCCGTGCTCTGGGAAGGCAGAGCTGAGCAGTGGTGGGGTCTTCCCATGTGCGACAGAGGGAGGTCTGGGCTGCCCCAGAGGGCTGTGCTCCTGCAGGAGCCCCACGCAGGGCAGGAGGGCTGGCTGCCTTCAGAAGAACAAACCTTTTTCTTTATATCCCCAGTGAAGCTAAAAGGGGCACGGCCCAGTTTGTGGCTTTGTAGGTCACGGGAGGAGGAGAGCTCTGCAGCTGGGGATGGCTGCTTTGCTCCGCATGGCAGCGCTGTGTGAGCCTCATGCGGGCTGTGTGCCTGCTTTTAAGGAAGAAAACAGAGAGGAAGATGACTCCCCAGCTGCCCCAGTATTGTGATTGGAAGCAGCGTGTCTGTATCATGATAGTTAATAACGCTGGGCAGAGGTATTTCTCAGTAAATACTGACATCCTGGAGAGATGCAGTGGCTGTTTGGGTTCTGCTCAGCTCCTCAGTGCACCGAGCTGGTCCCCAGGGCAGCAGCAGCACCAGGGCGCTGCAGCAGCACAGTCCATGTGCACTGGCCTGCCGGGAACCATTGCTGGGGGATTTGGATGCTGTGCTGAGCCCCAGGGGGAGCTCCAAGCACTGCCTCCCGGGCACTGACAGCAATGTCACAGTGTCCCTTGCCCCGTGCTTGATGGCAGCCTTCCCGAGCAGAGTGAACAGCCTCTTGGTATGTTTCCCAATTTAGTCACGTCCTACCAGCCGTAACTGAGCCAGGGTAAACAGGAAAATCGGGTTGCTTGATGTCACTGCACTTCCTTGGAGTGCCAGGCCCGCCTCTGGCTCCCATCCCTGCTGGGTCCCCTGCACACAGGGCTGGGGCCTACGCCATGCATGCCGAGTGGTGCAGCAGCCCCAGCACTGCAGGATCTGCAGGGGAATCCCCAGCCCACAGGATGAGAACTACCCCAGGCTGTGTCCCAGTCTCAGAGCATGCAGGTGGGGCTCTGCGATGGGCTGAGGGCAGAGCAGCTGTGCCAGACACCAATGGGGTGCTCAGAGCTGCTCTCCCATACCAGCACTGGGGAGGGGAGATGAGGGCATGCAGCCAAGGCAGCTTTGCAGTGCTGTAACCTGCTTGCTTTCTCCTTTTGCACAGGTTTGGTGGGGTAGGACAGTTTCCAGGGTGCACTGCTGAGAACTGGCATTCCTACCTCTGGCAAAACCGCTGAGCTCCTTGCTGCAAGGAAGAGGCCGGGTAAGTTCTCAGCCATTGAGCCTGTGCCACCTCACGCTGCAATTTAGAGCCATCAGGCAGCGTTCCACCCTGGGTTTGTAACCCAGCTCAGGGCCTGACCAGCTTTGTGGCCAAGGCTTTGTAGGCTTTGTATTGCCCTCGATGAGGCTGAGGCTATTGCTGCAGTGCCACCCGGTCTCTCAGTCAGCTCCCAGCCAGCACCCCATAGCTCCCAAGGCGGGCTGTCTGCTAACAGTGCTTCTTTGCAGGGCAGCCCTGAGCCATGTCCAACGACCCTCCACCACCCTATCCTGGAGGCCCCTCAGCACCGCCGATAGAGGAGAAGCACGGCCCACCCCCTGCAACAGGTACTGAGGGTCCCAGCTGCCAGCAGGGTGCCTCTGCTGAGCAGGCAGGAGCAGGGGGAGCTCCGCTTGCTGCATGAATTTGGGCTTCTCGTGGCCCTGGGCGTGCTGCCTTGGGGCAGTGCCTGATGGACACTTCCCTGTGTCCTCTGTCGTGTCCCCACAGTTGCCACAGACCCTCCCTGTGTGCTTTATTCCCCTTCCTCACAGTCCCTCCTTCTCGTGCTGTGTCCTCTTTCCCCACAAGGGCTCCGGATCGCTCAGCCAAGCCTCCACTGTCTGCTGCCTCCTGCCGTGGCTGCTCACTCTGTGTTTCCTTTCAGATGGCATCTCCCCAGCCATGGTGCAGCCCCAGGGGGCTCCCATCCCTCCTCCTGAATTTGGACCCCCCCCGTATGAGCCTCCACAGCCGGGCTTCGTGCCCCCACACATGCCCACAGAAGGCTCCGGGCCCTACATGCCGCCTGGTGAGTGTGGGGAGGAGCTGCGGGCCAGGGGGTGGTGCTGGGTGAGGGAAGGCAATGAACGGGGGCTGGGCAGGAGGGGGGCTCAGTGCCTGCAGCGAGCAGCCTGCAGTGGGCTGCCCACACACATAACTGCGGTCGTGGTACGGCAGCAGGGCACGGTCCATGGAGACATGGCCTCCCTTACCTCACGCAAAGACACATCTGTGCCTGTTTCTGTTTCCCAGCAGGTTATTATCCACCCCCGGGCCCTCACCCTCCCATGGGCTACTACCCTGCCCCAGGCCACTACCCATCTCCCAGCGGCCACACGGCGACGGTGCTCGTCCCTTCAGGGACTGCCACCACAGTGACCGTGCTGCAGGGCGAGATCTTCCAGGGCGCCCCGGTGCAGACAGTGTGTCCCCACTGCCAGCAAGCCATCACCACCAAGATCACCTACGAGATTGGGCTCATGAGCTTCCTGCTGGGCTTCTTCTGCTGCTTTGTGGGGTAGGTGCCGCCAGCAGCCCTACCACGGTGGAGCTTACTGCACATCGCTCCTGGTGGCCCCGATGCCAGTGGCTGTGGCAGAGCTGTTGCACAGCTCACAGCTTTGTGGGGTGGCAGCGTTTGGAGCCCTGAGCTTCTGCTAGCTGTGAGAGGCTGTGTGCAGGA